TGCAAAACAGTTAATAACTACTTGCTATCACAGAAAGTGACAAATGCTCCTCTTTTTGGGAAATAAACCTCTGCTAACAGTGTTGTCTCTTGAATTAGGTCCTTATTTTCACTTTCTGTAGTTCTGAAGCATTTACTATAAGTACATCATGGTTCCCTGCTACTTTCCTGACTCTGCAGATTACCAGTCTGATTGCTGTTTCTCTCTAGTTCTTGGCTCTGGATTCGTTGTTCAGTTTTGCCTCTCTTAGCGGGTTGGAGACATTTGAGAATTACTAATTGAGTGCAGTAACTCAGGGGCACGTCCTTTGACCCTCCTCAGGTGTCTTTCTCATATCTGAAATGTGCCTTCTTTTGTGCTTTGGCTTGGCCTTTAGCAGATCAAAAGAGGAAGGTGCTTAGGCCTGCCATGTCCTCCCTGTACTGGGTTAGTCATTGCTCTGCTGTTGGTGCATTAACACTTCATAAACTGGTCTTGAAAATGAAAAATTAAAGCCTTCTCAGACTTCTAAGTCTGATCACTGATTTGCCTCATGTCTCCACCAAATGACTGCTATTGCACAGCCACTCGGAGGCCTCAGCCCTTTTAGCCCTGCTAAAGTCTCCGCAGTAGCCCATCCCTCAGAGCCATCTATTTACACAACTAGTTTTTTTATAACAGGAAAAATGAAAGTAGTTGTTAGATTACGGTAGTGGTAATAGATAATTTTTCATGTTTTAAAATTTCTTTTTATTATATCAGTATAACATATATCAGCTTTTTTATTACAAAAGGAATAGAAGACACCAGTATATTACAAATACTATTCATATTGATGAATCAGAATGTTGATTAATATCATTTTGCTATTTAAACCATATGGTATAATGGAAAATTCTTTAAAATGACATAATGGCCTCTTTGGATGGTAAAATGACAATATTCTGTAAGGCAGGCTTGACCCAGCAATTTCAGTTCTAGAAAAGTGTCCTGCTGATATACTTGCCTGTGTGCAGAGAGACATACACTCAGGGATAATCACTGCAGCATGATTTGGAGTGGAAGATGGTGGGAAACAAACCAATGTCCTTCAATAGCAGACTGTTTACATAAATTATGGTACATCTATAGAATAGGATAATATGCTGCTGTTAAAATTGAATATAATAATAACTATAATTATATAATGCAAAGTATGTCACCCTTTACGCACATACCTACTAGTGTATCAAGGTCCTTTCTGCAAGAAACTTAGAGTTGCTTTCTCTGGGGAGAACAGCTAGAGGACTGAAGGATCGTGGAGGTAGAACTTCCTTTTTCCTCTATACTTTTCTATCCTGCTGGATCTTCCTGTCCCTCCTCCCTCTATGGGGAGAGATGGGAGAGATGTACTTTTCCTAATTTTTTTTGAGACATGGCCTCACTCTGTAGCCCAGGCTGGAGTGCAGTGGTGCGATCATAGCTTACTGCAGCTTTGACTTCCTGGGCCCAAGCAATTCTCCTGCCTCAGTCTCCAAGTAGCTGGGACCACAGGTGTGTGCCACCATGCCTAGCTAATTTTATACATATATATATATATGGAGCTCAGCTCACTGCAACCTCTGCCTCCTGGGTTCAAGCGAAATCTCCTGCCTCAGCCCCCTGAGTATCTGGGATTACAGGTGCCCAAATATTTTTTAATTAAAAAAAATTTAAAAAATTTTTTATTTTGTAGAGATGTAGTCTCACTATGTTGCCAAGGCTGGTCTCAAGTTCCTGGGCTCAAGCAATCCTCCCACCTCAGCCTCAGGGCCAGGAACTCTTCCTAATCTCAGATTAGCTGCATAGCTTAATTTCTTTTCTAAGGATTTTTTCTTCATTTGTTCATTTTCCTTTTTTGTGACAGCTTTATACTTTTTATTAAGAGTTGTACAGCCATAATCACAATCAATGTGAGCATATTTTCATTCCTGAAAAAGAAACCCCATACCTGTTAGCAATCACTCTTTACCTCCCCCGATTGCTTCTACTCCCCATCACCCACCCTAGCCATTCAGTCCCCAGCCTGGGGCAAACAGTTAACTACTTCCTGTCTCTAAAAATTTGCCTATTCTGAACATTTTCTATAAATGAAATCTTACAGTATATGGTCTTTTGTGACTGGCTTCTCATTTAGCATGATATTTTCGAAGTTCATCCATGATGTAACAGGTATCAGTAATTTATTTCTTTTCGTGGCTGAAAATTATTCTCTTGTGTGAATGTATTACATTTTATCTAGTCATCTAATGTTGGCCATTGGAGTTATCTCCACTTTTGGCTATCATAAATAATGTTGCTGTGCACATCCTTGTACAAGATTTTGTGTAGTCATATGTTTACATTCTCCATACCTCTGCCTAGATATGGAATTGCTGGTCAGATGATAACTCTGTTTAACTTTTTCAGGAGCTGCCAAACTCTTCTAAAGAGGCTGCACCATTTTATATTCCCATCAGCAGTATATGATTCTAGTTTTTCCACATCCTGGACAACACTTGTTATTGCCTGTTGTAGTGAATTCTTTTTTTTTTTTTTTTTTTTTTTGAGACGGAGTCTCGCTCTGTCGCCAAGGCTGGAGCGCAGTGGCCAGATCTCAGCTCACCGCAAGCTCCGCCTCCGGGGTTTACGCCATTCTCCTGCCTCAGCCTCCCAAGTAGCTGGGACTACAGGCACCCGCCACCTTGCCCGGCTAGTTTTTAGTATTTTTTTAGTAGAGACAGGGTTTCACCGTGTTAGCCAGGATGGTCTCGATCTCCTGACCTCGTGATCCGCCCGTCTCGGCCTCCCAAAGTGCTAGGATTACAGGCTTGAGCCACTGCGCCCGGCTGTAGTGAATTCTTATAATTTTATGTTGCCTCAGCAAACATTTTAAATCTAAGTTGAACCTTCTCATACCAGAAGCAGGACTGAGTCACCCCGACACAGTTGGCAGTTCCACCTTTTTCCCCAGTTCCTCAGTGTGGTTGGTCCAGATACCTGCCTTACACAGCTGCTCTCTGGTGACCACTTCCCTATGGGACAGCTGGATACAGCCTGCTTGACAGGCCCTTCTGACCTTCACATTCCCCATGGACCATATGCCACAGTGACCACCTCTCAGTCACTGGGTAACCTCCCAAAACTCATGCCTGCTTGCTTTAAACTCTCCACTTAAAACTCCCCATGCTGCCTTTGGGAAACCTGTTTGGATAACACCTGGGACCCATTAAAGACATTGGCTCATGTGTCCTTCCCCTCAAACCACTGCTTCCACCATGTGAGGACACGGGTCCCTTTTCTTTCTCTCTCTGCCTGCACTCCCTGACATTTGTGTGCTGGCCTCCAGGTATGCCGTGTACTCTCGAGAACCTGTAAGTGATAATGTCTTTATTTCTATCTCATATTTCTCCTAATTATTGGAGGGGTACTCTCCATCTTAAATATCCTAAATTAAAACGTCTATCCTTCTTAGTATAGCCATTGATATGGGCTGAATATTTGTGTCCCCCCCCGCCCCCGGCACAATTCATGTATTGAAATTCTAGGCCGGGTGCGGTGGCTCAAGCCTGTAATCCCAGCACTTTGGGAGGCCGAGACGGGTGGATCATGAGGTCAGGAGATCAAGACCATCCTGGCTAACACGGTGAAACCCCGTCTCTACTAAAAAAAAAATACAAAAAACTAGCCGGGCAAGGTGGCGGGTGCCTGTAGTCCCAGCTACTCGGGAGGCTGAGGCAGGAGAATGGCGTGAACCCGGGAGGTGGAGTTTGCAGTGAACTGAGATCCGGCCACTGCACTCCAGCCTGGGGGACAGAGCGAGACCCCGTCTCAAAAAAAAAAAAAGAAAAAAAAGAAATTCTAATCCCCAAGGTGTTGGTTTTTGAGGATGAGGACTTTGGGAAGTGATTGAATCAAGGGGGCAGAGCCTTCATGGGCACAATAGTTTCTTTATAAAAGAGGCCGGGGAAATTTGCTTGCCCCTTCCACCCTGCGAGCACACAGCAGAAAGATGCTGTCTGAGAGAAAGCAGTTCCTTACCAGACCCGGAGTCTACTGGCGCCTGCCTCGATCTTGGACTTCCCAGCCTCCAGAACTATCAGAAACAAATTTCTGTTATTTATACACTGTCTAGTTTATGATATTTTGTTACAGCAGCGTGAACAGACCAAGACAGCCATCATAGTGGGTAAAGTGATATCTTACTGTGCTTTTGAATTATGTTTCCCTAATGAGTAACGATAGTATCATTTTATGTGTTTATTGGCCATTCATATATCTTCTTTGGAGAAATGTCTATCTAAATCCTTTTCCCACTTTTAAGGGCTATTTGTCTTTTTATTACATAGTTATATGACTTCTTTATGTGTTTTGGATACTAGACCCTTATCAAATACATAATTTGTAATATTTTCTCCCATTGTGTGGGTTATGTTTTCACTTTCCTAATGATGTCTTTTCAAAGCATGTATTTCTTTTTTCAAAAACATATATTCTGTACTTTCTTTTTTTTTTTGAGATGGAGTCTCCAGGCTGGAGTGCAGTGGCATGATCTCGGCTCACTGCAATCTCTGCTGCCCGAGTTCAAGTGATTCTCCTGCCTCGGCTTCCCAAACAGCTGGCATCACAGGCACCTGCCACCATGCCCGGCTAATTTTTGTATTTTTAGCAGAGACAGAGTTTTACCATGTCAGCCAGGCTGGTCTCGAACTCCTAACCTCAGGTGATCTGCCCACCTTAGCCTCCCAAAGTGCTGGGATTGCAGGCGTGAGCCACCACACCTGGCCTACTTTCTTTACTATGTTGGTTTTGTGAACTATCATTGTTATTAAAATTAAATTGTATGGACTTTACTGCTTTTTGCTCATTCATTGTGTAGGAAGCCATGAGTTTAATAAAACGTGGTAGGTGCTGATTTCAGTAATCATGCTTTGTTTGACCTCCTTTCATTTCCGGGAAAAAAAAAAACCCACCTAATTGTTTATACACAATATGTTTAGCTCACATCTCTTTTGGTGTTGCAGGTTGCAGTGCAGGAGGGAATTAACTCAGGAACAGCCATGTCAAGAGGATTGTATCAACCAGCAACAATCTTTATGGGCCACCAAATGTCAGCCATCTCAAGCATGGGAGATTTCAGTACAGAGCACAAATCTCCCCAGCCCACAAAGAACTTTTCAATTCCTGACCCACATTCACACCGACAGACAGCCCAGAGAAGTAATGTGACAGACAGCTGTGTAGTACAAACTAGTAATGACACACAGTGCTTAAATAAGTCTGACAACATAGATGGAAAGGCATCTCTTCAGATTGGTGAGAAAACGCCAGTCACAGCCAGTGTATTGTCTGAGGAGGAACAAACTCATTGCTTGGAGATAGGAAGTAACACACGTCATGGCAAGAGTAATTTATCTGAAGGCAAAAAGTCTGCTGAACTCAATTCCCCGTTACAGGAAAGATTAAGTCCAGAGAACAGAACCACTGATTTAAAGTGTGACAGTTCCAGCAGATCAGAGGGATCAGAGGGAGAAATACTGACACGGGAACATATTGAAGTTGAGGAAAAAAGAGCCAGCCCGCCAGTCTCTCCGATATCAGTTTCAGAATACTGTGAATCTGAAAATAAGTGGTCTCAAGAGAAGCATTCTCCTTGGCAAGGTGTTTCAGGTGGGATGAGAGGCTGAGTTTGGTTGCTGAGTTTTCTGGGTGGTAGTGATCTTATGTAAGGACAAAATATACTCTCTAATTATCTCTCTTTGTCATAAAATAGTATCTTTGCCAACAAAATCCATTCTAATGAGCTCTTAAAAATGTACATGCAAGTGAATTTGCTGATTTTTAAACCCGCTGTGATTTTTTTAAACATTTGAAAATATGTTTAAGCTTTTAAGTTCCGTAATGAATTGTGTGTGGGCTGCTTCTCCGTGTTTTTAACTGATGAGTGATTCTGCTGTGTGTTACCTTGCTTCCCCCTGAAGTCAGTGATTGGTAATCGATTCGTGTCCCCACTTGCAGATAATCTTGCTCACGGGGACCCAAAGTCACAAAAGCCCTTCAGAAAAAAGCAGGAAGAGGAGGAGGAGGAAAGTTGGAGCACCAGCAGTGACCTCACTGTTTCAATAAGTGAAGATGACCTGTTTTTAAAGAGCCCAGAACCACAGCCAAATCCAGGTGGCAAGGTGGAGGGAGAAGATGGAATAGAGGCCTTAAAATTAATCCATGCTGAGCAAGAAAGAGATGCCCTATCCACTGAAAAAAATAATTGTATTTTGCAAACCCTAAGCTCTCCTGATTCAGAAAAGGAATCCTCCACTCACGCACTAACTAGAGAGTAAGCCATTCAATTTTTTTTTCTACTGTTCTGTTTTTAATTGTAGACATTTCAAGAGACCATTCCACTGGGAATGTATTATTGAGCACTCAGCCATGAATGTGTAAATTCCTTAAGTCTCATAAGTAATGTTTTAGGCAAGACCTAATTTTCTTTCTGTCCTTCTTTCTTCTTTCCTTCCTCCCTTCTTTCTTTAACAGAAAAGCTTTAAACGTTTGGATATAATTGAGTTATGGTGATTGCAGCTTGTAATTATATACACACAATCCCTGGTTAACATAATAAGTCATTCCCCAACACCCTACTCTCCAGCCTTTCAGAAAATAAATCTGTTTTGAAGTTTTGGTAGCACAGAAGGTGACAGTTAAACTTACTAGGAATGCAGTATTAGAGTCTGAGAACTTTATGTCTAATTAATTTGCTTAATCCTTATATTCCTTGCATAGTATCATTTTTGTCATCTGATTAAATATGAGTTAATAAGTTCTTCCAATTGTATATATAAGCCAGGTTTCCTTTTTTGAATGTAAATAGGAAACATTGGAATCTCTAATGTTAAATGGGAACATCAGCGTTATACATTTTGAGAGCTTACATTATCCAACTGATAAAAATTTATATATGCTTTTGTGCTACTGATCAGAGATGCTAGAAGAAAACGTTGTAGAAAGTTCTTGTGTATCTACTGTGTAGAAAACTTGTTAACCGTTGAAAACTGATTCTGTGCTGAAAAATGGCATTAATAACATCAAATCTCTTTAAGGAGTAGAAGGAACCTAAGTAAACAACCTAAGGTAGATCTCACCTTTTACAAATGAGGAAACGAAGGCCGGGGCAGAGTGGTGTCATATAGTTCTGCTGGATCTGCTGGGGCAGAACACCCTGCACCCTGTCTGCCTGAATGTCACACCACTGCCCCACCTCCAGAATTTTCTGTTACACCGTAATGCTGGTCACCCTTTCATTTCCACAAAGCTGGCAGGAGTGAAAAGCCAAGTGGGCATTTTTGTATAGGAGGGCATATGTTCTCTTTTAGAACACCATTGTACCTTTTAATATATTGCCTCTTACCATTCATTGTCTACTTATGGTGAAAAGTTTATTAATGGGCTTTAATTTATAGATTGTATCCAAACTGATGTTCAGGAAATATTTATTAAGAGCATATCCAAGTAAAAGTTCTTGCACGAGGGATGGAAGAACCGACATGGTTCCTGTCATTGAGAAATTTGATTTAGTGGAGAGGCAAGCCAAATGGATTTTTCTAGTAACAATACTTTCATCAAAGAGACACAGGTAATGCATATTACATCATCAGAAACTTTATTACTGGAGATACAATGTTATCTATCTCTAGTTTTGTGTTTGTGGGCTTATTTTTATGGCATGATGGACCAGTTAGTACTTTGGTAGGCTGACAAGGGGAATATACTTACCCAGGACTCAGTCTTTTTCTGAGGTGAAAAAAATTGGGTATGTGTATGGAATTCCTACTTAACATTTCTCTAAGAGTCAAGAATGTTCATTCTGTCTCCATTCGAAAGACTTTTTAAAAATGATCTTGGAGGCATAAAGTCAGGCTCCTTGGAGTTTTGGCATATAGTTTTCCAGTATTTATTGGAAAATATGGGCATGTAGGGAATTTTGAGTATTTTTCTTAATAAAATGCCCCTAGAATGAAAATGTCAGTCAGCAGTGGTTGTTTTTGTGTCTATATTATCAAATTTGAGCCTACTGATTTTCTGGGTAAAAATATTCTCCAGGAATAGGTCGAAGGTGGTTTTAAATGATGCTAGTTAACTCCCTGACATCACCACTGCATTTGAGGCCCCACATTTTGTTAATTTATTGTTTAGTTGGAGCTCTTCTCCTTTGCTCTTAGGGTTAATTATTAGTCTGAGACATAGCATCATATTTATAGAACTAACACTATAACCTCAACAGTTCAGTATTTCAGTTGACTTTAGGGTCTGTTGGGGGCCTGGAGAAAAATCACTTGAATGAATTTAATTAGCAAAGATGCATAAATGGGACAAAGGAGGACACACAGGAGCATGTGATCTGGAATGTAGAATCTGCACAACATCTTGAAGTCTGTATAGGCTTTGAAGGAGGAAGAGGAGGGAAAGAGCAAATAGGGTCTGGAGGAAAATGCAAGAAGGAATGCAGAGCAGAGAACACAGAGGACATGGGAGGGGCAGAGCAAAGGACCGCATGGGTGAGGAGGGCCTTTTGTAGTTAAGGTTCAAAATGTCACCTAGGGTGAGCTTGAGAAAGGCCTGGAATATCAGGTTAATGAATTTGGAATTCACTCTCTATGCTTTGTAGAGCTGTTCAAGGTTATTTTAGGAGGAGGACAGTGTGATGAGGCTTGATTTAGGATTAACCTGACAGCGTTAGTTCATTAGGATTAATCATCAGTGTGGTAGGCAGAAGTGCAGATGGCCCTGAGATTCTCTCTTCCTGTTGTTTGTGCCCTGTGTAATCCCCTTGCCTTGAGAGTGGGCAGGATTGGGAGTCTGGTGGATTTTACTCCTGTGATGAAGCTGTCACGTGACAAAGATGAAGGATTTTGCAGATATAATGAAGGTCCCAAATCATTTGCCCTTGAGCTAGTCAAATGAAAATTATTCAAGGTGGACCTGACCTAATCAGATGAGACTTTAAAAGAGACTGGCCCTTACTGAAGCCAGTGGCACAATCTCAGCTCACTGCAACCTTTGCCTCCTGGGTTCAAGCTATTCTTCTGCCTTAGCCTTACAGATAGTTGGGATTACAGGTGCCTGCCACCACGCCTGGCTAATTTGTTTTGTTTTGGTTTTGGTTTTTTTTGAGATGGAGTTTTGCTCTCGTTGCCCAGGCTGGAGTGCAATGGCACAACCTCAGCTCGCTGCAACCTCTGCCTTCTGGGTTCAAGTGATTCTTCTGCCTCAGCCTCCCGAGTAGCTGGGATTACAGGCATGTGCCACCATGCCCGGCTAATTTTTGTGTTTTGTTTTGTTTTGTTTTGTTTTGTTTTTAGAGAGACTTGGTTTCTCCATGTTGGTCAGACTGGTCTTGTACTCCCTACCTCGGGTAATCTGCCCGCCTCGGCCTCCCAAAGTGCTGGGATTACAGGCATGAGCCACCGCTCCTGGCCAATTTTTGTATTTTTAGTAGAGACCTGGTTTCACCATGTTGGCCAGGCTGGTCTTGAACTGCTGACCTCAAAGCGATCTGCCTGCCTTGCCCTCCCGAAGTTCTGGGATTAGAGGCATGAGCCACCACGCCCAGCCTGAAGCCAGGGAGAGTTAAAGCAGCTAAGATACTCTCCTGTTTGCCTGAAGAAGCAAACTGTCATCTTGTGGGAAAGACCACATGACAGGAAATGGCATGCAGCCTGTAGGGGCTGAGGGCCTCGATCCTACAGCCACAAGGAAATTGATTCTGCCAATAACCAGTGAGCTTGGAAGAGGTCCCTGAGCCTTAGATGAGATTGCATCTCCAGCAGACACCTTAATTTCAGCCTGGTGAGACCTTGAGCAGATGACCCCACTAACCCAGATCCAGACTCCTGTCTCATGGGAACTATGAAATAATAAATGTGGTAATTTGTGATACAGCAATAAGAAAACTTAATACAACTCAGTTGAAGAATTGGAAGCAAGGATTGTATGGATAGAAGTGTCTACCCATAATGACTGGGAACAGGCTGAATTGGACATATTCAGGGTTCCTTGTGGGAACACATGGTAACAAAGTAGCTGAGCAAGTGATTCAGCAGCCAAGGTAACCTGTGCTTCCCCTCACCTTGTACCTTCACCATCTGAGTAAATGCATTTTCATACTCAGGTAAGCAGTAGTGGAACATTATAGACTGATAGGGACTTTAAAAGTGGGTGTCCCTGTCTGCATTCACCAATAAGCAGTTTCTCATGCTAGTGGGTTTTTTGTTTGTTTCGCTTTTTTGGGGGGCGTGTGGGGGTGGGGTTGGAGTTTCGCTCTCGTCACCCAGTCTGGGGTGCAATGGCACGATATCGGCTCACTGCAACCTCCACCTCCCAGGTGCAAACTATTCTCATGCCTCAACCTCCCAAGTAGCTGGGATTACAGGCGTGTGCCAGCACATCCAACTAATTTTGTATTTTTACAAAATTAGATGGGGTTTCACCATGTTGGCCAGGTTGTTCTCGAACTCCTAACCTCAGGAGATTTGCCTGCCTCCAGAGTGCTGGGATTACAGGTGTGAGCCACTGTGCCCAGCCTGCTTTGTTTTATATATCAATGCATAATGACATGTACTCACCTTTAAAGTATCATTAAAAAATAGTTTCTCTGCTTGAAAATGACCTGTGCTCCATCTACTCACCCCTCTTCCTTTAACCCTACTTGAACCCCTGGCAAGTACTGATCTTTTTAGTGTCTTGTCTTTTCCAGAATGTCAAGTAGTGGGAATTATGTAACAAGTAGTATTATCAGATTGGCCTTTTTCACTTAGTAATGTAAATTTAAGGTTCTTCCGTGTCTTTTTATGGCTTCATAGCTTATTTATTTTTAGTGCTGAATAATACTCTATTGTCTGCATGTACCACAGTTTATCCATTCACCTACTGAGGAACATCTTGGTGGCTTCCAAGATTTGGCAATTGTGAATAAAGCTGCCATAAATATCTCTGTGCAGGTTTTTGTGTGGACGTCAGTTTTCAGTTCATTTGGGTAAATACCAAGGAGGGTCATTGCTGGGTCATATGTAAGTCTGTTTTTGGTTTGGGGTTGTTTATTTTTTAACTTTTAATTTTTAATTTTTGTGGGTACATAGATGTGTGTGTGTATGTGTGTATATATATATATATGGTACATGAACTATTTTAATACAAGCATGCAATGTATAATAATTACTTCATGGTAAATGGGGTATCCATCCCCTCAAGCATTTACCCTTTGTGTTACAAACAATCCAGTTACACTCTTTTAGTTTTAAATATACAATTAAATTATTATTTACTATAGTCATCCGGTTG